CACCTCAGTTTATCAAAAGGGGAGAAAAGTCTTTCTGTGATGATAATGATAATAATAATAATCATAGGCGGATAAGTTTGATTTCATCGATCAAGATGGCTAGGACACATGATTCGCATGTCAAGTACACCATCTTCACCGATTGGCAATATCAGCTAACGTAGGGTTAAATTGGAAAGAAAACGTTAGCAATAGTCAAACCAAAAACCTGAGAGATGGTTTTAGTCAGCCGTGTATTTAAGGAGGGTTCGGTTATGCTCGTGAAGACGGTGAGAAACAGTGACTGAAGACTATTGGCTCAAAATTGTTCTGAATGAGATGCAGATGCATTGATATAAGAATAGAACTTATGTACTGTGGCAGAGTATTATTCCATAATGGGTAAAATTTTTATTTATTATATTTATCGAGCACAATTTATTGCTGCTGGTAATCATATCAAGGCACTACTCATACAACTTTCTAACTTCGTTTATATAATCCCATTATTTCCACTCATCGCTTGACTTGATTGGTAGTAGTATTTTCCATAATTCCGGTATAAGTGATGAGTCATTCCTATTGGACGTGTTAGGTGTAAATTATTCGATGAACAAGGATTCAGTAATCAACTTCTCTCTCCACCTACCTAGATTACATTTTAAAATTGGTTTATTTTACAATCTAACATAGCTGATTCTCCTTGTTCATTAACCGACTCAAATATGAATTTTATTTCCTTTACTAGTGAGTTTATATGCGCCAAGAGTCTACAGATATGTTCTGTATCTAATTCTGTGAAAGTGTCATCCACAAGGAGAATCAGCTATTTTGGAATGGGATTCAATACATCAAGAGCAATATTTTCCCAACTGTCCATAAAGACATATCTGCTACGATATGGGATATTGGTGATATAGCAGATCACAGGAAGTAATCGCATCTGTACCATTCAGAACGATTTTCAGCCGGATCACCAACAATAGTCTCCAGTCTTCATCTGTCTACGTGGTTGTCTAACTGGCTCAAACCGACTGTTATGGATTTCATTGACTGATGGATGAAGCCATGTTTTGGTTTCATCATCGCTAGCTCTTTTCCTACCTGAATCTATGTCAGCTAACATTTCCCGTCGTTGAGGAAGGCGATGGCTGGCTAGGCACAGGTAACACATGACCCAGCCATCTTATCGATTGATTGATTGAGTGAGTGAGTGAACTATTCACTTCACCACTAGTAGCATTAGCTCAACGGTAGTGAGCAGTTGGTCAGTCAATCAGTCACACGGGAGGAGGTCAAGGGTTCGACTACACTGCAGACCAACACTCATTTCCAAACCTTGCCTAGTTTACTCACCGACAGATAAACTGGTCTGGGATGCATAAGGCTGGCGACTACTCAACACACGATAACAAAAGAAACAATCAATAACAACATTGCAAAATAAACGCTTGATGCCTTCCTCCTTATGTTACACTAAGGATGCAAAGCAATCAGAAAAAAAACAAAATTCTCAATCGGTAGCCTGCTTAAATCACTGGGCTGTCAGAATTTGCTTTCATCAAAAATGCTGCTGCTTAAACTCTTCTGCATTTCTCTTATTGTTTAAATATCATCCAGTTACATATCAAATGGGATTACTACATGAACTCGCGGACATATTTAATTAGCTTCCAAAAAAAAACACAATGTGTAATTCTTGAAGGAAATGAAGAAAAAGTGTGTACATAATTGGTCCACTCTCTTCACATGCAACAGCACTACGCCATATGATCTATACTTCAGATTATAATTTCGCAAGCAAGACAAGCTTTCACTACTCTTAAGTCTGTGTGGAAGTCAGCAACACTCAGCATCAAAAATAAGATCCGGATTTTCAACTCCAATATGATGTCAGTGCTATTCACTGTACGGATCAGAGAATTGGCCAGAGCATAATAAAGAGCATCTCAAACAAACTACAGACCTTCATTAACAGTTGTCTTCGCTCAACACTCAAGATCAGATGGCCGGCCAGAAAAGATCAGCAACAGAGATCTCTGGCATTGAGCGAACCAACCAGGAACCGATTGTGAAACAAATAGGCAGGCAGGAAGAAATGGAGATGGATTGGCCATACTCTGAGGAAACCATCAAGTGAGTGACATCACTAGACAAGCCATTGCTCGAGTGGAACCCGAGAGGGAAGCGGCGAGTTGGTCGTCAGTGAAAGGGTGACTTGGAGGAGGTCATGTGAAGAGGAGATGAAAACGTGTGGGCAGACAAGGAGCCAGGTGAAAACTTTAGCAGAGAAGGGAACGCAATTGAGACGCACGGCTGAAGCCCTATGTTCCTCTAGGAATTAAAGGATACAATAATAATATAATATAATAACGTAAATCCTGTTGAGAAGAGGAAATATTTTGGAACTAAATACGCTGAAAATTTCTATACTATGTGTTCATATATTGTCTAAAATAAAGCTGTATTATTATTTAAAACAATTAGTTCCCTTTATGAATTTAGACAAAGCAATAAGAAGACGTAATTTGTCTGAATCGTGTAATGCTGTATTTGTGCAACACATTTCGAACAACCTGATCACACACGGACTTGTCATAGGAATGCTTATATATGAAATTAATAAAGAGTTAAGAGGTGAGAAAATAGAGTACTTAGGTCAAGTTAAAAGGCCACCATACTGAAGGTCAAAATAACAATGAAGATCACTAAAACAAATAACAGAGGTAATAGTACATCTACCCTGGCTAGTATCAAAACAAAGTTTACCAAGGACGGTTTAGTGTGATGATGACGAATTGTTGCTTTGAAGGCATAAAGGTGGTTTAAACTTCCACAAACTTTAGGATACGCCCTCCCCCAAACACGTTTTGATAAATAGGTTTAAAAGATGTGTGACCATGAATTTTATGTCCTGTCTCTATAATATATGTTTCTCAATAAAGGAGCCAGGTCTCCTGTTCTCACTATTAATGGGTTCTGGGGGTTCTATTTGTTTCTAGAGCCATTTACGAATATGCTGTGAAACCAGCATTTACTTGCAGAGGTCGATGAGTCCTCCCTATGTACGTATGGCCACAAGTACATTCAAATTGGTAAATACAGAGGAATATGATATCATTTTTCGTATGTTCAAAGGTCTTAGATATATATAGGGACTTCACGTTCTGAACTATTATGACATTAACTGCATAAAAAGTCTTTTAAACCACAGCAGTGTTCAGTCTTTGTCTATCTATCAAGCTGCTATGATGTCCCGAAAAGGGTAGCTTGATGCACACGTCTTTCTTAGGGGCGAGTTGTAGAGTGGGTCTTGGTGTTCTGACTACTACTTTATACCTCCTGATCAACTTGTCTGGATAATTGTTATCAACCAGAATTTGTGTCAACTTTCTTTCTTCCGCATCAAGTGTGTCTTGAGTGCATATTCGTTGGATTCTACTGAAAAGGCACCTTACTTAGGCTCTTTTGTATCGCACAGGGCAGAAAGTGTGGTAATTGAAATACTGTCCTGTTCAGGTAGGTTTTCTATAAACAGAGCTTTTTACTGACCCATCAAGCCATCAACTTAGCAATATGTCTAGGAAAGATAAAAAATAATCTTCCTCTTCTACAAATATAAGTGGTATGCTATGCTGAACTTCATTCATTCTATTTAAAACTCTATACTAGTGTAGAGGCATCCAGTTGATGATGAGGAACTGTTAATTGAAAGAGAATGCATTTCTTTTTTGATCGCTCTATCTTTTTTGTTATTTTTTTTTCAAACATTATAAGTCGTACACAGATGATGAGAACACCGATGAAATAAAATGGATCTCCGCCACTCATAGTTTATTCTTTCTCTGCTCAAATTTAATAATAATAAAAAAGGGAAAATTGGTTGGAGGATTTCATCATGAGCTGACATCAGTTAAAGAACCACTGGAAAACCTGGGAGTACTTGAAAATTCATCTGATGTTCACTAGCGACTGACTGGCCCTATTCAAGTAGTGACCTGGGGTTCTAGTGGGAAGCCGTGACCAGTGGGGTGCAGCATGTCGAAGGTGAGGCAGTAACTCATCGAAGAAGAAGACATTGCGAAGTGGTCGCGCTATGTCATGAATCGGCGGAAGTTAGAATTTATGAGCTGGCCATTGGGTCAGGCGGGACCCAGCGCCTTAACAGTCTACGAGCTCGCAAGTCTTGTAAGTAGAAGGTCCTGCCTCCAAAGCCTCAGGATGGTCGGGGGTGGGTGCCTTACACTGCGGGTTGGCCACCCCTCCGCACACATCTTGAAATGCTCCCATATGACCGGGCGTCTTACATAGCCTCTCCTGAGGAAGTCCTACTCACTGCCTTCACGTGGCGGAGGTGTTTTTTCACCAAAGTGAGAGGACGAAAGCGGATGCCCAGCGCTCTTCACCGGGTTGACTGTCCATTGGATGACAGTCTAGGGGAGATGGCTAAACCCTGATTCCAAACCTCCAACGACTGGCGTATGAAGCTCACTGGAGCTCACCGGCAGACGTATGGACAAAGGGCTTGTTGGATGTCCTGGATGTCTGGCCCCATTCAAAAAGGCGTATGAGCCGAATTCCGGTCACCGGCTGCCAATGGGTAGTGGAATCCCTACTCCAATCCTACTGCCTAGTAGGTCACACTTGGTTGTGTAAAGGCTAGAGCTGCACTCTCAAACAAGAGGCCGAGCGATTCTGGGGACATCACTCGTACCAAATTCCCATGAAACTTCATGAACTCTCGTTCATGAAGCCGGCTCATCCTCCCGTAGGAGATAGCCGAAGTAAGTAAAAACTAGAAGGTCCTGGGTTCGAACCCGGCAATGATGGGTGCATACTGATGAAGGGTTCCAAACTAGGCTGACGAAACAGCTGGTTGTCCAGTACTCCCTGTGGCTGGTTTTCCAATGATTCTCTAACTAATGTCAGTTCATGATGAAATCCTCCAACCAATCAAACTAAATCCTAACAAAAATCAATACTTGAAAAAGGAAAATTCTTGTAATAAAAAAATAACTTACAGTAATTAGCTGCATAGCGTAATTCATGGGATGAACGCTTCAGTATTGTCTCATTATTCCCTGGTAGTGTATACTCTGTAGTTAACCCAATTAAACTTTGATTTCTATCCGGACGATTTGTACGAAGAAGTAGTGGAGAAGGTGTGTCAACAAGCATTAAAGAACCCAATTGATGAGTAATACTTCTATTATTATTGTTATTATTACTATTATTATAATAATAGTTATTATTATTATTATTATTCATTTGAAGTAATGCCACCCTTGTCATATTCATTGTTGGTCTCTGAGAGTCAAGACAATCGGTGGAATTTATACTGCCACCACTGAAACCAGCAACATTCCCTGACAGGTTGGTGGTATACAACAGATGAGATGATTGAACTATATCCGTATGACTACTTATTGCCATGTTAGTAGTAGGGGTAGTAGTTGGCAGAGAATTGACAATATGATTATGATGGAGAACAATACTTTCTTGACTAATGTTATCGTTCAATACTTTTGTTGCTGTTGTTATGCCTGGTGCTACTGTTGTCATAATACTGGATTGTTGTCTACTATAGTCATCATGCAATTGGTATATTTTTGACATAGGACTACTGATTGAAGACGACGTAGCAACAGCACTAAAGTATAACACTCGTGCTGCAAGTAAATCCAATAGATACGAATTAATCTTTGTTGGAATAACACCCAAAGTGTATTGACTTGTCCAGAGTAGTTGACTTCCTTGATGAAATTTTTCAACAAATTCTGGTATTGGCCAATTCGGTGGACCGATAACAGCTGTACATTGACTATATATAGATTGACAGGTGGGTAAAGGCATTAATAAAAAGGAAAGAAAAAAAGAAAAGAAATCAGCGTATGAATAATACTCATGTGATTGGAGTTTGAAAAAAATGTAAGATGATGGACTGGACTACATTGATTACTAGCTTAGAAATAAGGAGCTAAGTGGTAGAGCACGTTGATCGCTTCACTTATTTGGGAAGTTGCATCAGCCAACGCCAACAGGTTGGTAGCTGCATTATGGATAAGATTTTATTTTGATAAATCACACAGTGTGACACAGTAATATTAACTGATGACGTTTCGAGCACAAATTATTGCTCATAATCATATCAAGCTGATAGCTGACGAAATCTCAGAACGCATACAGAAGGGTCGTTTTACATATGCCAGTTTACGCCGTCTCTGGCGTAGACGTGATATCCAGCTGGCTGTCAACCAAAGGAGGTGTATACTGCTTAGCTGTCCGCTCCGTTCTCCTTTATGGCTGTGAGTGAGACATGACCATTGAGAGTGGAAGACATGAAAAGACTAGCTTGTTTTGATCATAGGTGTCTGCGTTCTATCTCCCGTGTGAAGTGGCATAATAGGGTGAACAATATTGAGGTTAGGTCTCAGTCGACTGCTAGGTAGGTGAGAGAGGAAACACGACATCGACTGAGATGGTTAGGACATGTGTTACGCATGAATCCCTAGCCACCGATCGCCTCCCTCGACGGGGAACGTTAGCTGACATAGGATCAGGTTGGAAAAGAGTTAGCAAATGGTGGTCAAACCAAAAACATGGCTTCAACAGTCAATGAAATCCACAACAGTTAGTTTAAGTTTGCCTACCACATGGGGAGGTGTAGACTTCCTGACTGATTGGGCTCCTCGGGACGGTAAATACCAATATAGGCTGGAGACAATTATCGGTGATATGGCTCAAAATCGTTATCAACGGCTGATGCAGATGCATCCACTTCTTGCAACTTATAATACTCAATAAAACTATATTTTTCTTCCATATTATTATTCCTTTTGCCTCATATCTTTGTTTACTGTCTGTATTTTGCGTTTCTTTTTTCTTTCTTCTCTTGCTTTGTGTGCTACATGGAGGGAGTGTTGCGACTCGAATTGCTGCACATCGGTGCAGAGTTCTATGTTGAAATCAGTCAGTCAGTTGGAAAAATAAAAGAAACACATAGGTAAGCAAACAACATTCTTTTCGTGAATTCACTTTAATGCCGTACAATTAAATTTGTTGTTTTCATATTCATTTGCGTTCCAAGTGGAAGATAGAGCTTCAAGCCTATTTAACACCTTTGAAGTTTCAGTAGCAGTGTTGTTTTCTTTTTCATTTTGAAGGGTAAGATTGCCAGTCTCACGTTCAACTTTTCTTTTTTACCGGTCTTACTACTACCCGCTAAACGAGGTTACGGAGTGCGTCGATCGGGATTTGAATCCCGGACCACATGAAGCGTTTCGAAACCTGTTCCTTCTAACCAATATTTGCATAGCCAAGTGCAGTATTCTTAAACATCTCAAACAATATGTGTGGCTCCATTTATCAACTAATACACAGAATGAGTAACAGGAAAAAAGCAGTCTAATTTGAAGTCAAAAAAACAATCGATACTGATGCAAATTAACAGGTAGTCGCAACGAAAGTAGGCAAGAGGGCCAATTAATTTATCATTCATGGAGAATTCAAATAAGTCCACTTCCTATTGATTGAGTTTGGGGCTGAAAATGTTGTCTCGAAAGACAGTGAAAGGTCAGCAATTAAACCATCTAAGAAAAATATAGAATGTCACAAGATGAGATTATAACTCTTAGGATAAGTGTATATGATGAAATCATTGAAGCGTCTGCATTAGGAGTTGATATGTTAACAGAGGTCGAATATTTCTGTCAAATCAATCTAAATGTAAATCAAAATTGAATTAAAAATAGACAGTAACTGACAGCGTTGCAAAAGAGGTGGCTCTCACGGCCCAAACAGTTTAGTTGATGATGTTTGGGTATTTGAAACGATGGGTAGTAGTGGGTTCGAGACTCGACAGGAACACCACCCACTACTCACTAGGGAATTCGGGGGTAAATTCTTGACCTCGAACTGAGTAAATTTCAAATTGTGAATTTGACTAACAACGTTTCCTGAGTAGCAGCTAGCCAGAAATTGACTGGTTTGAAGTGATGATTCGGCTTTGTAAGCTGAGTTATACCGGGTACACTATTGATAAGGAGGTCGGCCTAAAACAAGTGTTTAGAACACAATATTTCTCTATTCGATGAGGGTTCGTGATATCAATGAAAATCCCTAGAAAAATCCAAAATTTCGGAAACAAATAACAACACTACGACGTGCTCCAAATCTTTGTTAACCCCACTAAACAGCTGTTTAACAATCACACGTGTCAACTGATCCACAAAGGAAAACTCAGCGAGGCGTTTTAAGTGAATACACGAGTAAGACAAGTCTGTCTGCCTATTATCACCTTCGATGATATTCCTAATTGTGTAGTGGACTGGATTGTGTGTCAGACTGTGCGTCTGGAGCGAGAAGACAAACGCTGGGCCGATAGGAAGACTGGAAGAGCGGCACTTTCGCGGATGATTTATGTGTAGTGTCACACACAAACTCGAAGATTTACAGGCGAAAACCAACAAACTGACAGAAGAAGCGTGCAGCGAAGACAGGACTTTAGGTGAACATTGAGAAGACAGAGGTGATGAATATAACCAACCAACAAAACAAACAACACCACCACCACCACCAACAACAACAACTGGCGGCAGTTACTATCCACGGAAGAAACTTGAGAGGTCACTTCCTTCACTTATCTAAGCATCATAGTTTTAACCAGAGGGCACAGGACGAATGAGGATGTCAAAACCAGTCAGATTCAGAAAGGCAAGACAAACTTGCATCCCTCTGAAATCAGTTTGCAAATCTACGCAAATGTCAAGTTAATCAGTTCTTCTGTATGAGTTAGAAACTTGGCCAACACGTCACAAAAAGCATTTCCAACAGCCTTTGGCAGACTTTTATCTTCGCTGGCACTATAGTGAAGATCAAATAGCCAGAAAGAATTAGCAACAAGAAACTCTTCGAACGAATCGATCAAGAACCTATTGTTCGAAAAATATCTCACAGAAAATGGAGGTGGGTTGAACACAAGCTCAGAAGACCGTCGAATAACATCGCACGCCAGGTCATCGCTCCAGTGGAACTGGCTGGCCGGCTGGATTCAACATAGAACTTGGCACCGAAGTGCACCAGTTCGAGTTGCCACATTCCAAATACCACACAAAGGTAGACAAGAAGATATATGAGTGAAGAGAATCAATAGAGTTTTGACGAGTATAAGAGTGAAACAGAATGAGTAATGGTAGAAAGGAATATGAAAGATTACAGAGACTGAATACATCTGCGCTAGCCATTGACAACGATTTTGAGCCATGTCACCTATTGTCTCCAGCCATTGATTCTTAGAGTCCCGAGGGCGGGTCCCAACCCGGAAGTCTGCATCTCCCTCCCTACCTGACTCAGTTTAACTGTCAAGGATTTCATGGATTGATTGATGCGATGTTTTTATTTGGCCACCACTTATTCTATTCCAACCTGCACCTACCTATATCAGCTAGTAATGCCCGTCCGTCGGGGGAGGCGGTGGTTAGGCATGCGCAGCACGTGACCTAGCCATCTCAATCTATGTAACTTTATAGCCTCGTCGATTGATTTTCCCTCTTTGCCCAACACTCTACGCCTAACGTCAACATTACTTACCTTATTATACCAGCTAACGTGAGAAAGAGATCGTAGACATCTATGATCAAAAACAGTCAACCTTTTCATGTCTTCAACTCGTATTGGCCATGTTTCAGAGCCACAGAGAAGGACGGAGCGAACTTCTGAGCAGTACACACGTCCCTTGGTTGATAGCCGGATGTCACGCCTACGCCAGAGATGGTGTAAGTTAGCGAAAGCAGCCCGAGCTTTTTGTATCCGTGCTGAAATTTCGTCACCAATCAATCCGTTGGTGCTGATACAAATTTCCAAATAGGTGAAGTGGTCAACATGTTCTATCACTTCACTCCCTATCACGAAGCTAGGAGTTGAACCCGAAGAGTTGAGCATGGATCCGGAGGTGACACGGAGCAGGTCCTGCGAGGAGTAGACCAGAAACTATGGGCAATTTTAGGACTAGCTAAAGAGGATCGCAGAGAATAGGACGGAGGTAGAGATGTGCAGTTGAAGGCTTATGTTCCACTCAGAACCTTAAGGAATAATAAGAGTAATATAATAAAACCCTTGAACACGCACTGTTATCGGTTAGAGAACCATTTAGTCATGGACTCTTCAGGTACACGCATTCAAGACTCCACTCATCAGGGATCGAACCCAAGAACTTCAGGTTACGGTGATGGGTTCGCTGACCATTCATTAGGCACTGGGATGGATGGAATTCAACAGCCGATCCATGGTTTTTAATTGGTTTTAATCTGAGATACATAGAGCAACGGCTGGCTAGCTAGTGTCTTTGGCGAGTATTTTACCTCATATTCGAGCTGTTTCCCCTAAACCTAATGGTCACAAATTCTCACTAGAACTTCTCGCAGCTGATATCAATCTTTGATCAAACATGAGACGAATTCAATCCCAAGGAACTACCACTTGGAAATCATATAGTCGTCCATGGTTGAGGAACATGATGCGTGCTTCACTTCTCAGCCGATGCACTCCAAAACCTCATCTAGCCAGTAGTCAGACCCATATACTAAAACTGTAAAGCCTAAACAGCTTGAAGCCCTATATATATATATATATTCAGCTAGGAACGCAAAGGAACAAGAACAAAAGAGAACACAAAAATCAATAAAGCAATAAATAAAAAAGACAATTAACACAATCAATCATCACTCACTTATTGTTAGGTAACATCATTAAATCACTTGATGATATCTGTGAATGATTCGATTCATCTGATCGACCTCCACCACGTAAAGAAGCAGTACTTGATGTTGACATAGCATCTGAATGATTACTAAGATTATCACTGGCTGCATCATAACCTTGATGATGCTGCTGTTGATGATTGATATTAACAACAGTAGGTGTAGTTTTTGATGTATTGGCCAAATGTTCATGCGATGATGATGATGATGATGGCGATCGATTACCACCACCAATTGAGAATAAATTAGTCATAGATGATAAAGTGACACTGTTATGCGAACGATGCTGTTGTTGTTGGTTTTGTTGCTGTTTATGTTGATGCTGATGACGTTGGTGGTGGGTGTGATGAAGACGTAATGATGATGATGACTTCGATTCACTTTCTCGAAGTAATTCAATATGATTATCAAAATATTCTAACTCTTCATCACGTGATGAGGCATAAATTCTATCACGGACAAAATTGGTCCATTGTTGAGTTTCAAATAAGGCACGATAAAACGGGATAGTTGGCTTATCAGCATATTCTCTGAGAAAACCTGTTGAACAAATAAAAAAAAACAAGAGTAAAGGGTTGTTACTATTAGTACCATCAATATTATTTCATCCCCATGAGGGATCGATCTCAGGACTTTGGAGTTACAAAGCCAGCTGGTTGACCATCCAACCACTGTGATGGAAATTCGGCGGCCGCTCATGAATTCTAACTTCTTTTTTAATCTGAGATACATAGATCGACTACCACCAGGCGGTGACATCGGAAAGACCAACCGCTAGTGGGATAATGGGTGCGAACTGCTAAAGACTGTCATACTCAGAGGAGGAAACAACTGTTCAGTACACGCTAGTTCTAATTGTGCTCTCTAACTGAGGTCTGTTCATGACTAATCTTGAAATCAATCGAATCCCTGTTAGCCAATAATACTTAAAATTAATTCACGATATGGAGCGACCATTAGCGAATGTCATCATCCTCACACCCGACTTCCTCACCAGTGGGGTACAGAAGCTTGGATATGAGGACAAATACTCGCCGATGACATTCGTTAGTAGTCGCACCATATCGTGAATTGCAAGAAGTTGGAATTCATGAATCATTGGGTCGAGTCCCAGTGGCTGAATGGTGCAGAAGCTGGCTAGCCTTGTTACCAGAAGGTTCTGGGATTCCAACCCAGGTGAGGTGGGGGCGTACCAGTGAAGAGTCTCAAACTAGGACGAAATGGCTGTCCAATACCCCCAAGTTTTCCAATGGTAGCACCTATCCACCGGAGTTACTCACCAGAAATCCGATTAGTTCGAACTGATTCGACTTTCCAAGATGAGTCAAACCGGCGAAGTAAACCAGCTGATAAATTCGGTTCTAAACGAATGTGAAGCTACTGCCAGTTGTTCAAATCACTTCATTCGGGTTAGCAAGCACTACTATTATGCAGTTTTACTTGCTTTTCTTGATTACCATTTATAGTGCTAAGCAGAACACCAAGCATTGTGTTGAACCGAACAATCTCAGGAGAGTTTCATGTGCTTTTGGAAGTGTGTATGGGCGGTGGTTACTGGTTTAAACTGGTTTCTTAGATTGCTTTCGTATTAGTAACTTACTACCAGTTACGGACCACTGTAGGGTAAGTCAAGACTTACAATTTTTGGGGTCAACTTTTTCTAACCTCTCCCACTCTCCAGAGAGTGGAGAGACAACATAGCTGACTTGGCATGCTCGTCATCTGAGGGTAACACCTTACTGCTGTTACATAAATATTCCCCAACAGTACAACTTTGCCCACAGACTTCAAATATATTGTAAAACAAAAAATCTTACACTATGCCGGTAACTGCTTTTAGTTTAATCGCTATCCTAACAACCTTTGCGGCATGATTGGACCTGGAGGAACAATGGTTCCAGCCAGTGTAGATTGTTGGGTCATTGCGGTGTGCGAGCCCGGCGACTACCACGTCAAGGTAGCAGCTATCGGTCGGGACTGAATAATCTCGGTTCCCCAAGAAAATTGTGAAGACCCCTCGGACTGTGTAAATTGCGAATTAATTTGCAGGTTAGTGGAATATCATGATTTCATTTCGTTGGTTTTCTTTACAACTGCATAGGGTCTAAAATAATTTAAACATATCGCCATTCTTAGAAATATTGATGTACTTGAGTTGCTCACTGCATGAAGATCAAGAACGTTATATACAGAATATTCCAGAGTTGACTTAAAAAATTATCGTAAGTATAAAATTGATGACACACACGTAACAGAATGATAGCAGTGAAATAATATGCTTGAATAGAATCAGCCACAGGAGGCTGTCTTGGACCAAGGTTCGTGTTTGTTGACATCCACCAATCAGTCAATCAGTAAGGTATGTCTGCAATCTTGAGGGAACTTATCCTCCTTCTGAGATTCGAACCCGTGTCACCCAGTGCACCATGATAGTGAATCACCTAGCATGGCACCAACATTGTAAACTAGATTGATAGAATTTAGTCTGGACAAAAACAAAGGATTAGACGGACAATAGTAGCTACTATCTCGTGTCGACCAAAGGGTGTATGTACTGCGAATCAGTTCACCCTGCCCTCCTCCATAGCTGTGAGACATGGTCATTGAAAGGTTAGCTAGCTGTATTTGATCATAGGTGTCTCCGGTGTATCGCCCATATTAGGGAAGGAGGGAAAGTTAATCGATGGGGTTGTGAAGCTACACCGATCGAGATGGTTAGGACACATATTGCGCACACCTAGCCTAGCCATCATCTTCACCGACCACGGTCAATTTTAACTGACAGGATGGATTAGCTGGTTCAACCAAGACATGGAGGCATCATTCAATGAAATCCACAACAGTTAGTTTAAGCCTGCCTACACCACATGGGGAGGTGTAGACTTCCTGACTGGTTGGGGTCCTCGAGATGGTAAAAACCAATGACGCCTGGAGACAATTATCGGTGATATAGCTCAAAATCGTTCTCCATGATGGCGTAGATGCATCCACTTTTTGTGACTTATAATAATATCCAATAAAATTCTATCGTTATTCCATATTACTATTATTTTTTCCTTCCCCACTTTTGTTAATTCTCTCTCTCTTTTGAATCTCTATTTACTTTCTTCTCTTGCTTTTTGTGTGCTGCATGGAGGGAGAGGGGTAACTCTGAGTGGTGCATATTTGTGCAAAGTTCCATATTAAAACCGGTCAGTCAATCAATCAAACACAGTGTACTTTTAGTGGCTGTGTAATTCAGCCTAACTTGCCGGATATAATTTAATCAGTTTTGCAGATATGTTCAGTAAAGAAGATACTTCTTTGCTGAGATGGTTGTTGAAGGATGAATGATATATAGAATGAAGCTTAACAAACGCATCACTGAGCGCCTTCATTCATGATTTTGAAAGAGGCGAACAAAATCTATAAGTAACTCTATTTCGTCTGATTTAACTGATGATAAAGGTCATCTAGTTGACAGAAGAAGTGCTTTCACGGTTATTTATTGACTTCAATCTAAAGGAATTCAAAGTAGAGTCTTTAAAACACTTAGTCAAAGAAAGCTACAGGAATTCGAGAGAAGTCTTTGAAGTAATTTTGTTGGATAGTGGAGTAGCAGTGATGGAAATCAGCCAAGATGCGCAAAGTTCTACGTTAATGACCACTCAGTCAATCTGTCAGTAAGTCGATCAGTTCTTATTATTATTATTAGTATTATTATTATTATCAAACAAAATACCTGCAGAACCAACAGCTGAAAGTTTAAAAAAAACCCATTGGCAAACCCATTTGGAGTGTACTGGTGGTAGGGAAAAGCATTGAAAAACAATGTGATCAAAATTTTTCTCCTCTAAACAACTTACGTTCAACATTGAATAGAACATCATTATTGACATTTCGTACTGGTATAAGGCATGCACGATAATCTTTCAACAGATGAACCATAAATTGAAAAAAGGCATCTTTGATTTGTGCACCGATTTTCGTCTATACAACACATATACATCGTAAGAAAGAGAAACACAGAGAAAATTAGACACAATTAAGGCTAACCAATTTAATTGGAAATTTTCATAACATTCATGCAAAAATTAAAAACAGATAAGCTACTTAAATTTATTTGAGTAGTTGTAATTGTATCGAAGTATGCATACACTCATATGTGAGATAAACGAATATACAAAAACACGGTAGGGGGGGGGGAAATAACTAATATTACATTATGCAACAAGAACTGCGACTTGGATGACATTCTGAAAGTATTCAATGACAGTCATCCTTAGAAAAAGAAACTAAAAGAGAGTTGACAGGTCTTTGAAAAGATCTATTCACAGAAAATAGACATGGACAGGACAACTGAGCAAGTTTTGCAGTTTGGTCCCAATTGACAGAAAAAGGAATCTAATGCCTTTCTCTCTCAGCAAGGGTCCGGAGAATTTATAGTGAAGATAGTGTTGGTGACAAACTCAAACAACTGAAAGAAACCTTCATGGAGAACGGATATCCACTACGCTTCGTAGGCGCAAATAGCAAATCACGTGGAGGAAATACAGAGATTGACAAGGTAGCTAAACAAGTGTTGCACCTAAACTCTGAATTTAGGGGTGACACTGAGAATAAGACACTTAAAACTCGTCTGACGCGATCATTGAGAAAAATGTTCTGTGCTGCCACTTTACGAATAACCTACTCTAACCGTCCACTGGTGCACCTTGATGTCGAGGAAATGTTGCTTCAACTGTCTCATTCCATGTTTATTTATATGTTCATCTGCTCTTGTGGAGCTAGATACACAGGACGTTCGTCGAGAAACATACTCCACCACCACTTTCGAGGGCACCTTACAGTGTGGCTGAGCAAAGGAGAACGTAGAGGTATTTATTCATAAATATTGTAGCATATTGTAGATACTGACCACCACGCAGCATCTCATGCATCGTTTAATATAATCTACAAACATCGACAATGTTGGCCCAAAAAGAGAGCACGAGTACATTTGCTGTGAACAGCATAGGCTTTAGCAATACCTAACATAAATCCAGCAGGTCGGGTGTGAGGACAAATACTCGCCAAAGACATTGGCTAGGGGTCGCGCTATGTCCTGATTTGCCAGAAGTTAGAATTCATGGACTGGCCATTGGATCGGGTCCCAGTGGCTTAATGGTATACGAGCTCGCCTTGTAACCAGAAGGTCTTGGGTTCGAATCCCGGCGGGTGCGTTCTGATGAATAGTCCCAAACTAGGACGAAACAGCTTTCCAGTACTCCCAGGTTTTCCAATGGTTCTCTAACCAATGTTAGCTCATGATGAAATCCTGTAATTAATCCAGAAGTTAGTGTACCAGAACAATTTGTACAATTTCTTGAGTTACCATGTTCTTGATTTTACTATATGATTCACAAAGAGAATCTTTGCTATCCTTCTTTATTTCGTGTTCCATTTTTGTTCTATTTTATTTCACTTTATGTTATCATATTGTAACATTTTATCTACTCTACTATTTTGACAACATTTTACTCTTTCATCTATGTCATCTACCCATCAAATTTCCGAATGCACTTTATTTTCCCATCACCTATTTCACACTTATCTACTGAACTTTAGGTTGACCTCTATTTATTTATTTAGTTATTCATTCATATATATATTTAATCAACTGTGACTTGTAATCCTATACAGCAATATTCTCGCTATTTAGTAAATGGGTCAAGTACTTCATGGTAGAGAAGATTGAAGTTTATTGTTTTTTGTAAACATAAATTAGGATGTAGGTGATTCATCCAAAAAGTGCTTGAATTAAAGTTAAGTGAACAACTTGACCAATTTAAATATGAATGGTCATTAGTATGTACTTTTGTTTCATTTATATCACTGAGTGATTGTCATGCATTTCATTTTATTATTATTCTGAACCATGTTAGTTGTAAAGCGATTGTAGCGAAACTACGAAATGATGATATCATCTCGTGAAATATCTCCTCTAAATGCCTTATTCAAATTTATCAATAAGGACCTAATCGTTTTCATATACATATGATTCTACACCTATGAAAATGAAATGGTTCTCAAAACTGGCATCAATCCGTGATCAACAAAACTGATCCTTACAAACCAACAACTATAGAAACCTAATCTGATGCTCGCTAGCGACATGCTACAGGACGGAGTTCCCTGCAGTTCTAGTGAGCAGTCATGACCAGTGGAGACAATCCAGCAAAGTATGAGGATGAATGTCCCGCCAATGGCATTGGTTGGTGCCAGTCGCGCTAAAGTCACGAATTGGTAGAAGTTAGAATTCATGGACTGACCATTGAAGAGTCGGGTCCCAGTGGTTTAATGGTCTATAAGCTCGCTTGCCTTGTAAGCGGAAGGTCCTAGGTCCGAATCCCTTGTGGTGGGTGCGTACTGGTGAAGGGTTCCAAACGAGGACGAAACAGCTGACTTTCCAGTACTCCGTGTGGCTGGTTTTTAATGGTTCTCTAACTAATATCAATCCGTGATCAACTCGTGAAAATGAAATCATCGAAAAGAGAATTTTTTACACTGAATTCTTTGTTTTGTATGTCTCAATAGGGATTACTAACTTGAATAATAATAATAGTGACGTAAATTTTAATCAGAAATTTGTTTTAAAAAAAAAGTTGAGAACATGCACTCAAAAGAGACATGAAAGACCATTCCAAAAAAAAACACAACACAACACAACATAATAAAAAAATAAAGTACTCATTGTGGAAATCATTAAGTACACACACTACTTATAAGTAATAAGATCGAAGAAAAAAAACAGCTACAATATTGAAAAATTCATTGTGTACGCATATATATGTTATTGATCACAATAGAAAATGCTGGTTAGCTAAGTGTACATGCGCACAAACAAAATAACAATAATAATATGTGTAATTATAAAATCTTAAGTGTACTAGATTTATATGAATAATGAGTGGGGTGTCTCTAGCATAACATACAATTCACCAATTATAAACTCTACTACGTATATTTGTAATAAGCGACTGTACCAGAAGGACAGATAGTTTATCTATACACACGCACACTCCTATGAATTTGACATCCATATAGTTGAAAGTAAGGAAGAGACACATTTCAACGAAAAGGCTTTTTCTTCCGGCGAACTCAATATGATTCCCCTAACTTTAAAGTTGAGTAGTACCCATCAATCGTCACCAGCTGGACCTGATTATTTTTCTCTTGTGACTAGAACCCAAAGAATCTGTAGCTCTGAATCAATAGATGAAGAGATCACTCGTTGGAGGAAGAAGCACTACGTGAGAATGGCTATCACTCACACCTAAAGCCTGGAAACTAACCATGAACACCCCACTCCCCCCCCCCAACTCTGTGCTGAAGAAGATAGTATCCATATGTACTTGACGTCCAAGGGCGACCTTTTGACCGACATCCTAAAGAAGAAGAGAATAGGTGACACCCTGAAAAGAACATTCTTTGCTGCTACACTAGGATGATGCCATGACAAAGAAGAATACAGTTATCCGTAGAAAAGATATTAAAAGGGGTTGAATTCTGTCTAGCAACAACAGCATACTTTATATTTGAAAGAAAAAAATACAAAAACAAAATGAACGAAGAGTAGTCATGAGATCACCCATCTCATCAATAATAGCTGACATATTCATTGATTTTTAGGAAGAAAATGCACTTAAACCATTCACGTCGTCAATAAAATGTTGGTGGAGATATGTAGACGACACGTTAGTAATAAGGAGAAAACAAAACGATGTTGAGAAATTCTTCTCACACATATAAACTGAGTCAGGTAGACTCAATGAAATTCACAATATGGAAATAGAGAATGAAATTGGGGAGCTACCTATGTTAGACTGTAAAGTACAAGATGCCACCCGACCACATTTGACCTATTTATAATAAAATTTCAATACCAGGACTAAGAAAGCAGTGTAGGCGCTCATTAATCTGGCATCAGTGTTGAAATCTAGGATACTTAGTAGTATCCAACAAAAAGGATCCGAATTTCCAACACTCATATCAAATTAGTCAGTGCTTCTCTGTATTACACACAGAGACTTTACTGGCGTCTTACAGGGAACATTTACGACACTCTGTGCTGCATCTACACAGGTGTTTTTGTTTGATTATATCGCCAGTCGCAAAGGAAAAGTAGTAACGGAACTTTGGATTAAAAAAATCATCCAACGAAATATTGCTCTATAAATATGCCCAAGAAAATGATTAATTGGTTTCAACATCGAACTTTCCACAGAAGTGTAGCAATTTGAATTGACACACTCCGTGTAGCACACAAAGCAAGAGAAGAGAGTAAAAAAAGAGATGTATCAACTACAGGCGGAACTGACGAGGATATCAAAGCAAGAATCGGAAAAGCAAGACAAGCTTTCACTACTCTCAAGTTTGTGTGGAGGTCAACAACACTCAGCATCAAAAATAAGATCCGGATTTTCAACTCCAATGTGAAGTCAGTGCTACTATACGGATCAGAGACTTGCACTGCGCGTCATAAACAGCATCTCAAACAAACTACAGACCTTCATTAACAGCTGTCTTCGCTCAATACTCGAGATCAGATGGCCGGCCAGAAAAGATCAGCAACAGAGATCTCTGGCAATGAGCGAACCAACCCAGCAGGAACCGATTGTGAAACAAATAGGCAGGAAGAAATGGAGATGGATTGGTCATACTCTGAGGAAACCATCAAGTGACATCACTAGACAAGCCATTGCTCGAGTGGAACCCGAAAGGGAAGCGGCGAGTTGGTCGTCAATGCGAGGGTGACTTGGAGGAGGTCATGTGAAGAGGAGATGAAAACGTGTGGGCAGACAAGGAGCCAGGTGAAAACTTTAGCAGAGAAGGGAACGCAATTGAGACGCACGGCTGAAGCCCTATGTTCCTCTAGGAATTAAAGGAAACAATAATAATAATAATACAAGAGAGAGAGAGATAATGAAAAGAAGTGTGAGGGAGAAACA